CATATGAAAAAATGCTCAAGTCACTGATCATCAGAGAGATCTGTGAAAATGTGAAAGGAATCTGTGAAAGGACAATGAGGTATCACCTCATACCTGTCAGAATGGCTACCATCAACAAATCAACAAATGTCAAGTGCTGGTGAGGATGTGGAGAAAAAGGACCGCTGGTACACTGCTGGTGGGAATGCAGACTGGTACAGCCATTATGAAAAACAATATGGAATTTCTTTAAAAAATTAAATATGGAACTGCCATTTGACCCAGTAATTACACTTCTAGGAATATATCCCTAAGAATCCCAAAACACCATTCAGAAAGATTGCATCCCTATGTTCGTAGCAGGACAACTTACAATAGCTAAAATCTGGAAACAGCCCTAGTGCCCATCAGTAGATGAGTGGATACAAAAAGCTGTGTTACATTTATACCCTGGAATAGTATGCAGCAGTAAAAAAGGAGAATCTTTTACCCTTTGAGACAGCATGGAGGGACCTGGAGAGTATAATGCTAAGTGAAATAAGTCAGTTAGAGATAGACAAGTATCACATGATCTCACTCATATGTGGAATCTATGATGAAGGGAGTGAATCCAGAGACATGGAAGCATGGAACAGAGTGTGGAATTTCGGAGGCATGGCAGGGGAAGGTTGGTCATTGGAAGGTATTCAACCAAAGACCTTGTATGCATATATGCATAACCCATGGACACAGACAACAGGGTGTGGGCAGTGGGCTGGTGGGGGTCTATGGGAATAAAAAAGTGGGCATATGTAATACTTGCAACAATGAAGATTTAAAAATGAAGGAAGTATAAGAATATCTCATTAAATAAAAAATATCAGTAGAAATTATAAAAAACAACCAAATAGAAATCTGAGTTGAAAAGTATAATAACTGAAATAACAACTTCATCAGTAGAGCTCAGTAACAGATTTGAACTGGCAAAAGAGAGGATCTGTGAAAATAAAGGTAGGTAAATAGAGAGAATATCTAGTCTATGGTACAGAAAGGGACAAAAAATGAAAAACAAAACAAAAACAGAGCCTCAGAGACCTGAGGAATATCCCCAAGTGTTGAAATATATGCACAAAGAGAGTACATGAATGAGAACAAGAAAGGCGTAAAAATACATTTGAAGAAATAATTTCCAATGATTTCCCAAATTTGATTAAAAAGATTAATATACACATCTAAGAGGTTCAACAAACTCCAAGTTGAAAAACTTGTTGTAAAGTTGGAATAAGCCTGATCAAAACCTAGACACATCAGAGTCAATTGATGAAAAACCTCCAGAGAGAAGTAACTAATCCCACATATTTTTCCATCAGAAACCATGAGAACAGAAAACAATTGACATATTTGATTTGGTGTTAGAACAAAGGGTTGTCAGTCAAGAATTTTCTATCCAGCAAAACCATTCTTTATAAATAAAAGGGAAATTAAGATATTCTCAGAATATTTTTAAAACAAAAAAATTTTATCACTAGCAGATTTGCCTTATAAGAAATACTAAAGGGGGTTGTTTAGACTGAAATAAAAGGACAAAAGATAACATGAATCTGCAAAAAAATAAAAAGCACCAGTAAAGGTAACTATGTAGGTAAATATAAGACTATATAAAAGTATTTTTGTTTGTAACTCTTTGCTTCTTCTATTTGATTTAAAAGATAACTACCTAAAACAATAATTATAAAAACATGTTGATGGTATATTATTTTCCTATTTCTGATATAACATGTTAACATAAGCATAGTGCCTTACTAGTAAAACAAACCAATTTATTATCTTACAGTTCTGAATGTCAGAAGTCAGAAAGAGGTTTTAATAGGTCAAAATAAATGAGCATAAGGACTGTGTTCCCTTCTGGAGGCTCTAAGGAAGAATCTATTTTCTTATCTTTTCTAACTCCTAAAGACTGCTCATTCCTTAGAGTATCATGGCCCCCTTCCTCTCTGTACATTTCTTATGCTGTCACATCTCTTATTCTTTCAAAGACTCTTGTGATTGCATTGAACCCATGTGAATAACCTAGGATAATCTCCCTAATTTAAGGCCAGCTGACTCACAACCTTAATTCCTTATTCATAGGTTCCAGGGATTAGGATGTGGACATCTTTGGGAGAGTCATTATTCTGCTTACCAATATCTACTTATAATGTATTAAGGTATAATTTGTATGATGATAATAGTACAAAGAAAAAAAGGAGGGACCAGGCTATATTAGGGCATAGTTTTTTTAATGAGATTAAAGTTAAATTAGTGTTAATCCAAACTAAATTATTTTAAGCTAAACTATAACTGAAATTCTCAGAGCAACCACTGGAAAAAGAACTAAAAACTGTAGTAAAGAAACAATCATAAAACTAAATGGGACTCTAGAATATGGCTATTTAACATAAATTATAGTAATATAAGAATGAAGTATAAAACAAAAATAACAAATGTAGAAAACAAATGCCATAATGTCAGACATAAATCCTACTTTATTGATAATTACATTAAGTATAAACATATTAAATAGTCAAACAGATAGCAGATACAGGCAGGATGTATTAAAAAACATGAACTGAGTATATGCTGTCTACAATAGACAAAATAAATTTAAGGACACAGAAAGATTAAAAGAATGGAAAAAGATTAAGCAAAAGTGAGTTTCAATAGTTATACTTTTATCAGACAAAATAAACTAAGACAAAATTGTAATAGAGACAAAGAAGGACCTCCTATCCTATCCTATATAATAGAGGTAACATGCAAATTGACCCTCACACCCTCACAAGATGGCTGCCTATGACCACGCTGGCAGGGGGGTTAGTGAGGGATGACCAAATGATTGAACAAGCAGGCTGCATGGGGCAACCAGGCCGGCGGGGGGTGAGGGGCAGTTAGGGGCGACCAGGCTGGTGGGGGCAGGGTGCAGTTGGGGGCAACCAGGTTGGCAGGGGGGGCAGTTGGGGGTGATTAGTCTGGCAAGGGGTGTAGTTGGGGGCAACCAGGCTGGCAGGGGGGGCAGTTGGGGGTAATTAGGCTGGCAAGGGGGGGCAGTGAGGAGCGACTAGGCCGGTGGGGGGAGGGCAGTTGGGGGCGACCAGACTGGCAGAGTGGGCAATGAGAGGTGACTCAGGCCGGTGGAGAGGGAGGGGGCACATTTAGCATCGAGCCCGACCAGCATGGAAGGGGGCAGATGGTGGTGACCTGGCCAGCAGTGCGTGAGTGTTAGGGGTGACCAGGCCAGCGGGGCGGGAGAGTGAGGGACAATCATGCCACTACTCAGAGGCATTGTGAGAGGGATGTCAGACATCCCCAAGGGGTCCCAGATTGGAGAGGGTGCAGGCTGGGCTGAGGGGAACCCCCCCCCCCAGCACAAATTTTGTGCACTGGGCCTCTAGTTTTATAATAAGGGGGTCAATTTCAGGAAACTGTAAGTCCTAAGTATATAAGAACCTAATTCCAGAGCCCCAAAATAGATGAAGCAAACACTAACAGAAATGAAGAGAAAAACAGACAATTCAACAATTCAATGATCTACTTTCAATAATGTATAGATCAACTAGTCAGAAGATCAACAAAGAGATGGAAAACAACATACTCTTAAATAACTAATGGGTCTAAGAAGAAATTGCAAGAGAATTTGGAAAATACTTTTGAGTTGGATGAAAGGAAAACTGAACATACCAAAACATATGGAATACAATTAAAACAGATCTTAAAGGGAAATTAACAGCTTAAAATTTCTATATTAAAAAACACACACACACAAGATCTCAAATCAATAAACTAATTATTCACCTTAAGGAACTAGATAAATGAGAACAAACTAAAACCAGATACTAGAAGAAAGGAAATAATAAAGATTAGAGGGAAGATGAACAAAATAAAGAAAAATAGAGAAAATCAATGTAATTGTAAGTTGATTCTTTGAATAGATCATCAAAACTGACAAACCTTTAGCTAGCTTGACCAAGAAAAAAAGAGAGAAGACTCATATTAATATCAGGAATAGAAGAGGAGATATCACTACCAACCTTACAGAAATAAAAAGGATTATAAGTTGATTAGTGGTTGCATAGGTCTGTGTGTGGACAGTGACTACTAACAGGTATAGGGTTTAATTTGGGGTGATGAAAATGTTCTACAGTTAGATTGTTGTGCCAATTGCAAAACTCTGTGAATATACTGAAAATTGATGAATGTACTTTAAACAAGTGAATTTTACAGTATCCCAATAGCATTATATCCCAATAGAACTGTTTTTAAAAAGCCAGGATGGACCACCTGGTGTGGCTCAATGGTTGAACATGAACCTATGAACCAGGAGGTCACAGTTCAATTCCCAGTCAGGGCACATGACTGGCTTGCAGGCTCAATCCCCAGTGGAGGGTGAGCAGGAGGCAGCTGATTAATGATTCTCTCTTATCTCCCCTCTCCCTTCCTCTAAAATCAATAAAAACATAATAAAATTTTAAAAAGTCAGGCTAGTCCTGGCTGATGTGGCTCAGTTGGTTCGAGTGTCATCCCGGACACTGAAAGGTTGCAGGTTCAATTCCTGGTCAGGGCCATTACCCAGGTTGCAGGTTCGATTTCTGATCTGGGTGTGTAGGGGAGGCAAAGTTTCTCTCTCACATTGACGTTTCTGTCTCTCTCCCTCTCCCTTTCCTTTCTCTCTAAAATTAATTTTTAAAAAAATCCTCAGGTGATGATTAAAAAACACAATAAAATAAAATAAGTCAGGATAAAACTGGACCCAAAGTATAGGGAAAATGATTGTCTCCTGGGAAGGAGGAAGGCACTTCCTTCATGAAATCAGAGGGAAATATGAGAAAGGATAGCAAGAGAGTATTAAGTGAAGTAAAAATTAGAGGCCTGATTTTGATACATCCTTACTTTGTGTTCCAGATCTCAAGCCTTTTCAGGGAGCTTTCCTCCCAAAATCACAGAAGTCCTGCCTTCTCACAGTCCCACCTGCCATGGCCTTCTCCATACGAGTTACCATCACTCACCTGGGCACCATTCTTTTGCCTCCTTCCTTTTAACAATCCAGGGCTCTTTCCCCTGTTCCAATAAGGAGATCACATCTGGCTTAGAATTACAAAGTCCTGCTCAAGTTAAAAAAAAACAAAGGTTGTTGTGGGTGTTCCAGAATTAAAATCAATCCATGATTATCAAGAAAGAAGAGTAAGTAGTTTAAGGGTGAAGGTCAGAGAAATTAAAAAGATAAAGTTGTAAAATGGAGCAGCCAAGTTTTAACTTCACAAGAAACAACTATTCTTTGGTAAGCAAGAAACATTAATTCAGCCAGGCACTTGAAAAAGTACTCACAAGAAATTGATAACAAAGAACATAAAAATTCCAGAAGTTCAATTCTGAATTTTGAGAGGCAGATAAACTTACCCAGTGAGATCAGGTTGTTATAATTTTCCAACATTATATCTCGGTACAAATCCTTTTGGGTAGAGTGCAAGCATTCCCACTCCTTTTGAGAGAAGAAAATGGCCACATCTTCGAACTTCAAGCCCTGAAACCAGAGATAAATATACTATTTGGGAAATTAATGGACAAAATCTTTATAATAGAATAAAAGAAAATGGAGAAAGCAATTCAGTAAGGAAATTGCTTGGGAAAATAGGCTATGCTTGACCCTTCAGCATGGATGGGTCAGTGTGGGAACAAGAGTGATCAGATCACACATTATTCTTGGTGCATATATCATTCTTAAACATGCCTGCAACTATAAATGTTACCTCTTGGCATTATCCTCTTCCATTAGCCACTCAGGTCTGGGAATAAATAAAGGCTAGATAATTGGTGTTTCTCAACTAAGTAAAACTGTACACTGAAGTACACAGCACAATCTATCTTCAGCACATAAGACTTGTGAACATATCCTTCCCATTCTCCCAATAAATTTTTTAAAAGTTGGAATCATTCAAAAATGTCTTATGAAACTTCTATTTCTGAAATTGAATTTAAATATACTTAGTGACTTAATCATATCTTCAAAACTCAAGCTCACTAATATGCCAGAAAATTAAATCCTAATCACTTTTCCATGTCATCAAAATTGATGCTACCAAAGGCTGCTGTCCTGCATCCCTGTGTTCTCCAACAAATGTTTAGGTATTCATTTTGCAGGGTCTGGCTTATATAGGGCTGGATTCTTCATGCAGGTGCAGTTTGTGGAGCCATACTCTTCATTAGTGTGCTTTCTCTTGATGCATCAAGCATCCTCCCTGGCTCTTTTCCCTCCATCTTGTTTTCAGTAAACCACTTCTTTTGAACATGTTTCGCCTTCTCTCTTGACTTCTGTTGAATAGAGGCAAGAACCCCTTCAATCGTGACAAAAGCATGAAACAGGGCTCAACCTCATTTAGTACCAAAAATATGCAAATTGAAAATCAGAATAATATATCAATTCATACCCACCAACTGGCTGAAAATGTAAAAGTCTGACAATACTAAATGTTAATAAGGATATGAAGTAACAGGATTTGTAAATGGGTATAAACATTGGAAAGCAACTGGGCAGTGTCAGGAAGGTTGAAGATGCATATACCCTATGACCCAACAACTCTATTTCTAGTAATATACCTAGAGAAAATCCTTACATATGATACCAAGAAACAAGTCCAAGAATGTCCACATGAATATAAAAGAAAAAAAAGTATATTCATACAATAAATGGCTATATAATAGGATAAATTCACAACGTGAATGCATTTCCTCAATGTATACTGAGAGACAAGTAATAAAGTTGCAGAGATTTCAAACAGTATGATTTTATTTACATCAATGTAAACAAAA